GAAAGATTTCACAGATCCGAAGTGTGAAAACAACTTGTAGAACAGTTTTTGCCATGGCGAATCCCCATGTAATGAGGCTTTGCATATAGAGAGAAAGCAAAACACAAACCCTTTAAAAAAATAAGATCATCTTTGTCAAAAACATAGGCTGCTTAATGTACTAAGATTGTCATTAATGAGATTTCTCCCTCATTCCTATTTGTGCTTTCCCCTCACCCCCTGTAAGCTATTGAAGCTCTTACACGGAGTGCTTGCGATGAGCTGGTAGACTGCATGTTGGTTCCTGCTGCCATCTACTGCCTTGACACAGTTGCTGATTTGGAGTGGTATTTTGCTGTTTCAGCGTATTCCCTTTTTTATGGGTCTCTTCTGCTATAAACAGCGTGCATGCACTTTTCTTTGCAATAATTATAAGACTGAGCAGAGCCATAGTGACCGCTTGAAAGCAATCAGTGCCCTAGAGAGCTTGGGTCAGTTATTTTTTTGCTGGGAGAAAATTAGACATCTCTTGAAGTTACTGGGGAAACTGAGTGGGATGGTTTTTCTTTTGAAAACTTTGAAGTTCTCACTTAGGATGCTCACAGGTACTGAGAGGTATTTCTTGGCTTCTAATTTTATTCAAGTGACTTGAAACTTTTTTTTTTTCTGTCTATACACGTGCTTTACTTCTCCCCAGTAGGTAGAGATGGGAAATGAGAAGTATTAATAAACACTTTTAACATAACTGGAGGTTTCCGAAGTGTTATTACAAGTATTTAAAAAAATTGTACAGGTAGTCTTGGTTTCCATCTCTCCAGATGTTCAGACTTAATTCCTTATAGTGAGGGCTGGATCCCTAGTTCTTTATGTTTTTCATGCATGCTAAAGAATGGGTTCTTGCCTCCTCCTATATATGCATTTGAGGAAGATATGTAAAGATTAATTTATTTAAACATAGAGTTGAATGTGCTTCTTGTCTCCATGATTTGAATTTTAACAGAGTTAAGGCCCTGACTCGGAAAGGAGGTCATAACTTTTGGAACAGGGATCTCTGCGTATGAAGGTGGATAAGTTCTCAAAACCTAGCTGGTCCCATTTAAGAGTTTGATTGGACCCTCACCTTCATCTTATCCACTAGTTCTGTGGGCCAGATGAGTGGCATGCGGTTAGGCCTGGATGAGTGCCTGGATCCCACTTTGCACTGCCCAGATCCTGACTTGCTCATCTGTAGGGTTCTCCACAGGTCCAGAAATTTGGCAGCTGTGTAGCAGCAGTTAATGCTGCTACCACACCCCTTCCCCCAAACCCATAGGGAGCCTTGCAGGCTGGATGACAGGGTTCCATGGGCTGGATATTGCCTGTGAGCTGGGGGTTGAACACCCTTGAACTAGGACAGAGGAGTGTATTTCCAGTGTAGGAAAGTGTTGTATCATGACTGCATCAAGGACTTGCAATTACAAAATGTCTGAATGTGGCATTGTTAATTTTCAAGTGAGACTTGTAATTCCAAGTCATCAAAGCTACAGAACTGAACTGTGACAGCTAGCAGAGCTAAATAAAACTCTTTGCTTCTGTTTCAGTCAACAATGTAGGGATTTCATACGCTTATCCAGAATATTTCCTTGATGTTCCAGACCTGGATAATGTAAGTGTTTTATATATATAACTTGACTCTGCTATGGTTTTCTCACTTAAGAATAAACTTGTACTAGATTGGTTCAGGCTGGAGTACTTGTTAAATCAGGTTTTCTAAGTGTGATTATAATTCCAAGGCAAGTTTCCTCCCCCGCCCCCAATTTATCAAGGGGGAGCTTGGAAATGAGTACAAGGCAGTGAGGAGCAGGGGCAGATAGCTGCTATGGCTATGCTGCCTGCACCCCACCCTTGTACTACCTCTTCATCCTTCCCCCTCAGCCTCAGGCCCCTGCCCACTCCCCCAGCTCATCTTTGCTCCCATGCTGGCAGGCTTGGTCCTCGCTCCAGCCTAGGACATAGAACACAACCTCAACCTAGCCCAGCCCTGTAGCAGTGGTGCAGGCTCTGTTGCTGCTGTGGCATGAGGGCTGGTGTTGTACTCTATGCCCTAGTAACAGTGCAGGTATACCCTAGTACCAGTGTAAAACAGCCCAAAACAGTGGGGGGAAAGGTACAGATTGGGTAGGGGGTGGGGGTTTGAGGCTGGGGGGGGGTCGGGGACAAGTGGGGGAAGAAGGGGTGGCACAGAGAAGGCTGCCTGCCCTCCTACAACTTGCCTTCTACACTGTCTCCCTACCATCTCCCTTTTATCTCATGTATCTCTACCACTGTTTTCCCCACTGCAGTGATGGTGAGGATGAATTTAAGATGGCCCTCCTGATAATTAGATTCTTTACATGGAAGATTATAACAAATTTTATACATTTTCCACATGTAGAATCTACAAAATCTAATTATGGGGGGGGTCATCTAAAATTCAGGGTCATCTTAGATTCACGTACATGTGGAAGTATTCAGTTCATGTGAACAAAAGCAGCACAAGTTGCACTTGCTTTCGATATGCACTCTGGCCACATGAAAACTCATTTCTCAATGAATGCATGCCAGATTTAATCTATTTAAAATGCTCAAGTGCAACACTTTCATGTTTACAAATGTGTATAATAAACTTGAGACTTGTCCATCCCTTGCCCTAGTCTCATATTCTATGAACTCAAACAAGTTAATGGAAATATTGCTGTTTTTGTTCACCATCAACTAACCTTGTAAATCTTTTAAGTGTTGTAATTTTTTTCATGTAATGATTAAGACTTATATTAGTAAATGAATTAAATTGTTAAATAGTTTTATAATACAGTGAATAGTAAATACCAGCTTTTAAAAAAATACATCTCCCTTACAAATAATCATGTTGTTTGGAGTACAGTGTGTCCAGTATATCAGAATTTATATTAATCATAAGTATTGAATACCATAAGATACCATAGTTTCATAGTTTTAGGGTCAGAAGGGACCTAATAGATCTTCTAGCCCGACCCCCCGCCAGGGCGGGAGAACAACCCAAAAAAGAAAAACCCTAGAAACAAAAACGGGACTCAAATGAGTCCAGCCAGGTAGGTATCCAGCCTCTTCTTAAAGATCCCCAGGGTAGGGGCCAGCACCACCTCCCTTGGAAGTTGGTTCCAGCTCCTAGCCGCCCTAACTGTGAAGTAGTTTTTTCGGATGTCCAATCTGTACCTCCTCTCCATCAACTTGTGCCCATTACTCCTTGTTATGCCAGCGGGGGCTAGGGGAAACAGCGTCTCCCCCAAACCCTTCTGGTTCCCCCTAGTGAGTTTATAGACGGTCACCAGGTCCCCCCTCAGCCTTCTCTTGTGGAGGCTGAATAGGTTCAAGTCCCGCAGTCTCTCACTGTAGGGTCTGCCCTGTTGTCCCCGGATCATGCGGGTGGCCCTCCTCTGGACCCTCTCCATGTTGTCCACATCCCTCCTGAAATGGGGCGCACAGAACTGGACACAATACTCCAGCTGCGGCCTGACCAGCGTCGCATAGAGGGGGAGGATCACCTCCCTGGCTCTACTCGAGATGCACCTGTGGATGCACGACAAGGTCCGGTTAGCCCTGCCAACCATGACCTCGCATTGTCGGCCCATGTTCATCTTGGAGTCAATAATGACACCAAGATCCCTTTCCGCCTCCGTGCTCTCAAGTAGGGAGCTCCCCATCGTATAAGTGTGCTGCTGGTTCCTACTACCCAAGTGCAGCACCCTGCACTTGTCCGTATTGAAACACATCCTGTTCCTGTTTGCCCACCCCTGTAACCTATCCAGATCCTTCTGCAATCTCTCTCTCCCTGCTAGCGTGCTCACCTCCCCCCAAATTTTGGTGTCATCAGCGAATTTAAACAGGTTGCTTTCCACCCCAAGTGTAGGCATCTATGCCACAGTTGCCTAGTTTATTAATTAGGATGGGGTGAGAGACGGTGTCAAAGGCCTTGCTGAAGTCCAGAAAGACTACATCCACCGCGACACCTGTGTCCATGGCCTTTGTGACCTGATCATAAAAGGCGATCAGGTTGGTCTGACATGATCTCCCCATAATAAATCCATGCTGATTGCCCCTGAGCATCATTTCTGATGCCGGCCCATCACAAATGTGCTCCTTGATTATCTTCTCAAAGAGTTTCCCCAGGATTGAGGTAAGACTGACAGGCCTATAGTTGCCCGGGTCCTCCCTTTTCCCTTTCTTGAAGATGGGGACCACATTAGCTACCTTCCAATCGTCTGGCACCTGGCCCATGCACCACGATCGCTCGTAGAGCCGTGCCAGGGGCCCTGCAATAACCCCAGCTAGCTCCTTCAGCACCCTGGGGTGGAGAGCATCCGGACCCGCTGACTTGAACGCGGGTACCTTTTATCAAGGTACCATGTTGGTACCTTGATAAAAGAGCAAAGATAAGACTTATAAGGAGCCATGAGAATCAGTCAAGAAAATAGCTAAGGTACTAATTTACTTTAATTGATTAAAAGCATTATTGATATTGGGAACAATTGCAGATTTCCTCAATAATGGTGTTTTCGATAATATAGAAGTAATAATATTACTTCCTGTCTGTATCCTCTTTATTAAGGTAGGTGTTGACCACAGTATAATGGTATTGAGGGCAAATTGTCTGAAATGGGGATAGTTCCAGTTTAGAATATGAACTTACACACTTCACCTTTTGAGCTATATGTTTACTCTGCATTACTTAAGTAATGCTTAGATAATTAAGAAACTCTGCTTTATATCCAACTAATATATAATCTAAAATTAAATAAAGAAGCTTCTTTGCATGTATTTGGGGAATTACCATTTGTATCTGTGACCAGGATCTAGGACAGCTGACTCGAAATGTATATGCGTTTGTTTCTGATGTGAGGATGGTCTATTATTTTACTGGAGGAGGAGGTTTTTGGCTCAAATCTGGGTGCATTTATAATTGGTCCTAAGATTTAAAATGCCAGGATATACTGGTTTAATATTTATCAGTCATTTTTCTAGAAATCATTTCTTTTTGTTGCAGACAATCGACAAAATGATAAACATTAACATCATGTCTGTTTGTAAGGTAAGTGCCCTTATTAACATTTGCACTTGAAAATGTAAGTATTCTAAATAGCGTTGGATCACCTGTTACCCATAAATTCTTTTAACTTCCTTGGCAGATTCACTGTCCTCCTTTTTAAACTCTTAAGAATCTCCTGTCCTCCTGTCTTCTCATCAGACTGTTCTTAAATTATGTTGCAAAAAAGACATCTTAATATAAATGATTCGCATATATGTCATATAGGTATCTATAAAGGAAAAGAATAAGCAAGATGTGTGTATAAAGCAGGGGCAGGCAATTATTTTGGGTGGAGGACTGCTTACTCAGTTTTGGCAAACCATTGAGGGCCACATGGCAGGCAGCTAGGGGCAGATGCATATTAATTTTCTAAATTTTTTAGGGGCCCCGCGGGCCGGATAGAATGGCCTGGTAGGCCGTATCTGGCCCCCGGGCCGCATTTTGTCGACCCCCGATATAAAGCAATACTTCCATATAGGGCTGTCAATTCATCACCATTAACGTGTGCAATTAATGTGTTAAATGGTTCTTGCATACATTTTTTAAAATGTGTTAATGGCGCGTGTAGTTTTGGAGCCCACACCTGGGTTTCACTCTGCTGCCATTACTGCGGCCTCTGGGCCGCCCAGCAAAGCAGCAGTGGCAGTGCAGAGGAGCCGCCATACAAGTCTGGACATGTGCTCAAGGCTGCTGCTGCAGAAAGGCAGGCTGGGGTGAGGCATGTACACAGACGCACAGAGACAGACACTAGAGGTATACCAATATATCAGTGTCTTATCGGGACACCGCGTACAGGCATGCAGCTGCAGCATGTAGAGCAGCACCCAATAGGTAAGTCTCGGGGTGGGGAGGAAAGGTTTTACGTGGAAAACATACAACCGAGTAGGAAAAACTATTGCGTAAAATAGCCTGATTTCTCTTTCGAAATGTAATTTTCTAAAGTTATTTCCTTGCCTTCAGTAGTAGGTTGAATAATTTTGGTAATTACAGTTACCATTATACAGAACATACAAATGTTTTCTTATCTATTAAATCAAAAGTCTGTATGTTGTGAGACAGAGCAGGGCAGAGACTAGAGTTCGCTTGGCCCAAAATAACTTTATAATTCAAGAATGAGGTGACACTTCCTAAGCTTGTTTTGCTTAGGAAATCTATGCCTGTTTGTTAAGAAAGCATGTTAGAAAAGTGTAAGAGTGATTACTCACTCCTGTACCCCTATTTCCATTCATGCTTGCATCTTTTCTTCCATCTGAAGGCTAACTTGTTCTCTCTTGTGGAAACTGAAAATTTAGGTGCCTTGGAGCTGATTCAAAGGACAGGGTTTACCTTTATAATGAGAGTTTGGTAACACTTAAATTACATGGATTACAAAATCATTTAACATTATGCTACCACAGAGCTCAAAACACAATTGCCTGTTTTCTACACAAACAGGTACAAACTGAAATAAGGCAATGCTTCTGTAAGAATTTTTCTCTGCTACAGAGCTGAAATTCAACTTAAAGGAAAAAGTATCAGATGGCTACATCAGGTAGTAGATTCAGGTCAACTTGCTATTGTTAACTTTGTTTTGGAACTTTATATTTTGCTTGTAACCTGTGTATGATGTTTATAAATAATGATAGAGGTCTATAAAAACATGGTGTGGGAAAAGTAAACTTTTCCCAGAAACACACACAGGCTTGTGACAAAACACTTGTATCTCCCTAGTCATTCCATCATTGATCTCTGACTAGCTGTCCTTGAATGAAAAAAATATAAAATCCAACTTGAACACAAAATTGCAGAACAAGAAGTCATCCGCAGACTGAATTGCATTAACCTTGGTCTCAACAGGGACTATGGATTCTTATCCCATTATTTGGAGTAGGTGTTTACTTCACTATCCCTCCAGGTGTTAACTGCCCTTTTTATTTTACTTGATCTAATCCAGTGGTTCTCAGCCTTTTTATACTGAAGGTGCCCCTCAGAAAATACCAGCTCTTAGATTTTGCTCAGTTTTTTTGGACTATAGGAAAAATAATAGAGCAATTCTGCTACAACTCGGACCACAAGAGGTCAGCATGTTTCTGATGCTATAGAACCCTATTTGAAAGCGCTGCTCTTATTTTATAAATCATGTGCAGGTGTTTTGCACAACTAACAAAGTTAATGTTGAGCAGCACCCCACAGCACTCGTGAAATGAACCTGCAGCACCCTGGGTGAAAATCATTGGTCTAATCAGTCCACCTGATTTACCTGTCTTAGCAGTCTCCCCTCCATTTGTTCCTTTCTTGCTAGCATTCCATTCCTAACATCTGATAAAGTAGGTTGTTGCCTATGAAAGGTCATACCTTTCTGAGCCATTTCATCTCTATCTAAAGTGCCACTCTGCCCTTCCTTCTGCCTGACTTCAAACCATCACAGCTAACCAACTCTGTCCTGAGATGTGACATCTTTAGTATACCACTGGAGGGAGCCCACTATTCAATGATTAAAGACTTGAGCAGGTTGTATAAACTATTAAAAGTGCACTCCACTCTTTTTATTCAAGAATTTGATCAGATTTTCCTACAGCATCCTGCCTCTGTAGATGCTAGAATTAATATTCTTTTTGAGCTCTTGTCCGCTAGAAATATACATAACACACATACATAAAATATTTCATGAATATTTCATCTGTCAGTAGATATAGTGGGTATATCTAATAAAACCCCTACTACTGTTGGTATGTGTCCCATAGTAGGCTCAAGTCAAGAATATTTTGGTCAACTGGGGTTGTCTAGATGCCCTTACCATCATTGGGCCTCAAGTTGCGCTTCATTTTTCTCACTTCGAGAATCTACAATGTTTGAAACTCTTTGTGCACTGTGTGGTCTTATCCTTTTAATATGTAAATAGATGCTTAATGGATAGTTAGTGATTAGGTTCAGTGTATTTGAATAGTGTTTTCTTTTCTTCCTTTTATGAAGAAACTGTTTTTCTTTCTTTGTGAGGTACTCTTGATACTGGGTTCAGTCACTGTCTGAATGCAAGTCTCCAGGCTTCAAAAATTTCCTTTTGTGTGAAGCTGTAATGCCTTTAAACAAGAGGCATGCCAGATGCTTATTGTTGCTGGGAGAGAGATGTGCTGCAGAGAAATGTGCCATCTGTAAGTCATTTTCCAAGAGAACTCAAGAGAGCTGGGGAATCCTGGTTGAAAATGTTTGTTTTAGGGAGATCCAAAAAATCCAGCAATGCCTGGGGCAGAAACTTCAAGGCACTTGTCAGTGAAAAAGTGCTCCTGCTGTTGCCTCTCACTTATGGGACTGTCATTCCTGTTGCAGAAGATTCATCCTTCTTTCCCAGAAAAAAACAGGTCGTGGGGAAGAGAGTGTACTGAGCTTACAGGGGGAAGAGACAGGTTTAATTTTAAAAGCCATAGAACCTGTCAAATCTCAAGGCTTCAGGAGGTTTCTGGATGCTCTTCCCTCATTACCACCTTTCATCTATGCCTACCAGCATCTCAATTTTTATTTCTTCTTAAAGAATGTATCATGCAAGACCTCTAAATCATTGTCCTAGTTGACGGTTAGTTTCCCTTTTCCAGTCTTACAAGGGTCTTCACCAGCTCAGTTTTTGCTTCAGCACCACTAGAACAGACTGCTTCAGACTCAGCTAAGGAATAACAAACAGGAGATGACTTGGCCCAGCTTGATAGGTTCTCATCTTTCTACAATGCGGGTAATGCCTTAATCATTTATTTCCAACCTGGATGACTAGAAGATATTTTAGGAATATCTAGAGATTCCATTTCATGTAGTTTGAGAAAATCTTGAACAATTTTTTCACATGCTTTCCATTTTGCCACCTGGGTATCTTGTAGTAATAATTAACAAAGGACTCAAGTTTTGTCTGGCTGCACTGATAAACATCCTTCTCTGTACCTTCAACCCTGAAGAGAGCAGCTTGTTGCTATCCGGTCTCATTCCAGGGATCTAAACAATTTTATCCCATGACTTCCTCACTAGTGGTGGTGGCAGCAAATGAACAGAGTATCACCATCAGACTAACATTAACACCTGAAGACGGGGAGCTTAAGAAATTGGACTTGCTGGGATAGGGGCGAAAATTACATCAAGCTTTTTGAATAACTGCGAAATACTTAGCCTTACTGGTGAAATAATGGGTTTATTAGTTGCAGCTCCACAACAAAATTTAGTTTCTATCACAGCGCAGTAAGGAAACTATGTGTAATCATCCGCGGGACAAGTTTCTAGTGCATTTATGAAGTTGCTGCTTTGGATACAAATTCCAGATTGATGGTAACTGTGATTACTATGCAGAGAGCCTTCTGGCTCCATTTTCTGGGTCTCTCTCAAGAAGACCTAGTAACATCTGAAGATCTCACATACGAGGGAAAGGAGTTCTTTAATGCAAAAACAGATGAGTTGTTGCATTTCCTGGAGGACTTGCTTGGATTCTAAGATCCATAGGTTTCTATACGTCTGTGCCTAACCTGTAAGCCTTTTAGCCACAGTGACAACAGCAGCAATCCTTTTATTTATTATGCAGGCAGATTTAATAAATTTGACTGTTTGACTAAGAGCAGGGTACAGAGCCTTTCAACTCCTTTTCAGGTCTAGCTCCTTCCACTTCCAATCTGAGAACTGAAAATCAAATAAACATGGGTTTTGGAAGGAGCACAAAGTGAGCTATTGAGTCTTGTTTCTTACCCTAGAATACCTTCCACATTCTTATTGAGCACAGGCACAGAAGATGCAGTAACTTTTCTCTCTGAGAAGTAGAAGAAGTTCCTCGGAACACAGGAAAGGTGTGACTTTTATCTCTCTCTTGTTTCCCAAAAAGAAAAGTGCGATGACCCATTTTGGACCAAAAGCAACTAAACGCTTTTAGCTGCAAGTTCAAGTTTAGGCACAACCCCTGTAAGCAAATTCCAGAACATCAGAATTTGCCTGAGACTGCTATGCCACTTAGGTTACTGCCCCTATGTAACTCAATGTGCCAGACTTCATTTTTGTAT